CTTGTCATTTACTTCCAGACCAAATGGCCTATCTCAGGTCATATTCCAAAATTAATTCCAATTATGCTTCTGGGAGCACAGTGAGTATCAGCAGAATATCCATTCTGCCTTGCAAGTTAATGATAAATTCCCATCCATTTATTGACTTTTAAGAACTAAATTTAGCCCTTGAACACTTCCAGGTCACATGAATTTGAGATATGAATTAAATTTTAAACCTGTAATACTTTTTCCTGAGCAACTACGAACAGTGTGATAGGAGCTGAACAAGACTAATGAGAAAAAAGAATAAAGCAAAGACTCCAATTCACTGAGGGCATCTGGGGGCAACTGTAGAAAGCTCTCTTCCCATGGAAGCAACAGTAAAAGTGATTCCACGAATCTATGTGTATAAATTTATATTCAGTGCTCCTTCACCACCAAAACAAATCTGTAACTTTTGTTGATATTTATGTCTGTTTTTGTAGGGCTACCAAAAAAGAGCCAGCGCCAAGCAGAACTTGTAATCACCACGCTCTGAGACATGCCAGGCTTGTATTTCCCAAAACAAATACTGGTCAAAGCAGAGATAACATTTAGACATTTGCTTTAAAGTGTAGCATCCCTTCCACCTGCCAGTGCCGGCCGCAGAAGATCCAATCTAGTTAGCATATTCCTGACAGGCTGATGAGAAAGCTCCTGTCAGACACTGGCCAGCCGGGTGCTGGAGACGGAGCGCGCAGCCCCAGCTGACTAGTTAGGGAGAGACTGCAGAGGTACAATTACAGAGGCATATGACAAGCTTTCATGCTTGAGTGACTTGAGAACCGATGACATGGCTTTAAACAGCAATCCTTCCTACCTCCGGTCACAAAACAGCAATAAGTCAACTGATGCACTGTTGTAAAATCATGATTTATTCCTTTGCTTTGAATACATGAGAGTGTGGTATGATGTTCTGGTAGACTACCACAGCAGGTGCACTTGGGGCCAAAACATCTAGGGCCTGCCTCCAGCATGCATAAAATCAATGCTGTACCTCAGCCTTCCTGGAAAAGCCAATCCCAGCACTTTAATAATTTATAGAAAGACTGAATTAAAAAATTATTTGTACTGAAACTCATTCAGCTCCATGCAACTAATAAGAATACATGCAGATGCAGTTATGTGTGAGGAAACAGTGCTGTGAAAGAACATACAGCCTGGCATTTAGGAAAGGTCTTCTTTTTGCTGCTAAAATGAAATAACTAACAGCCACTTCTGTGAGTAGATCAATCCCTTTGTTTCATTCATCCTTTCACTTGATCCAAAGCCACATAATTTGTTTCTCTTTCATAGTTTACTGTTCAAAAGCCAGAAATGGTAATTTTTGCTACATACAGATCTTACAGAGCATAATCCTCAGGCTAGCTGAATCCATCTCGTTCTAACACTAAGCCTGAAGCAAGCTGTGAGGTTGGTGATAATAACATTATTAAAGTGGTTGGAAAGTCCAGCTAATAAAGAATCAACAGTTAGGGCAAATAATGACCCAGAAGATACAAGAGAACAGAGTGGTGAGATGTTTCCACTTGTATCTTGGTAGTAATTGGAAAGACTAGCAGACAAATATCTACACCAAAGGAATTTTTAAAGGGAATAAACCCACAGAAAATCAATTTAAAGGGAGATGTAAAGAAAACACAACTGCAAAATTCTGAAGATGTACATAAAAAAAAGCCTGCTTGGCTGAAAGAAAATATAAGCTGAAACACCCTAAAGATGGCCGGTTTTTTTTCCTGTTTTGAGGGTTTCTTTTAATTAAAAAACGCTACCTAACAATTTAAAATAGGCAACCTTATTTTCTTCTGTTTTTTTCCTCTACAGGAAACCCTTTTAAATATAGCATCATGTTTTGCCCCCTTTTATCCATACTAGGGCTGATACTTTACTTGACTATAACGGCAGTATGAAATTTAAAGGGTAGAAATGGTAGACAAAGAATTCCTGAACATAAGTAAGTGCAGTTTTCCATTCCTGGCCCCCACAAGAAGGGTGAGGAGAAAGTGAGCAAGGCCTTGAATTATGCCTTTTGTTATCAGTCACTGCCCTGAGATAGTGAACCGAAACAGAGCCGATAACTTGAAGGTGACATCACAACCCAGTCTCCATGAACTGACATAAACACTTGATATTCAGTTAACCCCAAAGATAAGACAACTCCCTTAACAGAAAGTTGTGTTTGACTGCACTTTTTTTGAACAAATCATCTTTTCTAGTATCAAGCTGTAATTTAGGAATATCAAAACAGGAACTTTGCAACAGAAAGTACCAGTCTGCTGTGGTTTTGTATGCAACACCAAAACAGCACAAAGCTTGCAAAGGTTGATGCCCAAATGCACTCCATTTGCTTACTGTACTACATTAAGCAATCCCCATGTTAAAGAAGAAATATATTTTGTCAAAAACAGATTTAATAATTCTTGGCAATTCAATTAAATTCTTACTGGCAATACTGGAAAGTGTTTCATTAACTTTTTAAACTATATTGCTCTGTAAAAAAGCAAGCCATGCATCACCCCTGTTCTGTTTATGAAAGAGATGAGCAGGCAGCACTTCTGTGAACTGAAGCTCTTAAGAAGCCAGTTATACTTTTCAGTTTTATCAGAACTCAGTAGTGCAAGTGAAAATTAACCAGTCCTGTATCAAAGGTGGATCCAACACGATGTGGCAGTAATTTTGTTCAGCTATGAGCTAAGTAATGCTAGTAGACTGAAAAAGCAACCAGAAAAAAAGTGAAGCTGATGTGGTCTCTCATTTTGGATTTGACCTGCATGCTACAATTTACATTCACAGCTTGGGGACACTCTCCAGCACATCCAAACACCACTACAAGTGTCTGGAAAGTGACATAAATTATTTTCAAGTGAAGACACCAGCAAGATGGCTTTTAATTCATTAAAAGGTTAGGAATCAACAGCCAAAGGTAAACAAAGTGGAAGTTTCTTGCCACCAGAATATTCTATCTGTTGCTGTATAATGACTTCCAAAGAGAAATGTGATCATTTAAATAAGGTGGTCTAGATCAGCACTGTCTAACTCCAGTACTTCCTCTTCTCTTGTCACATCACAGCAATAGAGATCAGCTGAGATGTTCAGCCTAACAAAAACAAGTCCTAAGCAGATCCAAATGTAGGCTGAGAGTACCATTCTAAATCATGCCAAGCAGACGGACACGAGCTCACCTGCAGAATGAATCTTCCACGGGCTCACAGCTGCCATCAGGATTCCTATCTCCTCTCTACTGGAGCAGTAAAACAGGGCTGACTGGGGCATCATTGGAGCTGAGGTTTTTTATTGGTGTATTTCTTCTTTTTTTTCCCCCCCCCGCCTTTTTTTTTCCCCCTTTAAGTATAGCAAGCTGTGTTTCAGACTGGCAAAGTGAAAAAAAATTCTGATTTCAATTTTGCTTCACCATGTGAGTTTCTGCTAAGACAGGTTCTTTGAAAGGGGCTTTCCCTTCAAAATCTATTTGCCCATTCAGGTCTTACGTTGTAATGCACAATTCTTTCCCTATCCATTTCAGGAAGGGGAGGGGAGCATGGAGAGGAGAGAAAAAAAAAACCCATAATAAAATATGGAGATTTCCTAAGAAAAAAATAACATCTTTGGTGGTTAAAAATTCTATCATAGAGTAGTAATGTGAAGATTGTCTAAATTAATTTAGTGTTTATTGTGCTGGTTTTTAGTTGTTCACATGACCTCTGCTTATACAACCCCATGTTTGCTCCACTCCAGTTCCCAGGACTGGCTTAGCTCCACACCCTGCAGAGCATGGGGGAAGTGCTGCCTTGTGCACTGCCCTAACTGCAGTGCTGGTCACAGACCCAGGGACACAACACTGTGCTGTTTAAAAAAACAATAAGGCAATTAAATAATTGCTACTGTACCTAGAATTGTAAAATGTCAGCCTTTTATGGCAATTCTGAACCTTCTCTATCTTCAATTTACTTTTGACTCAAAAAGATGGAAAGGATTTTTGTCCATTATATATAACCAAAGAATTCTCACTCCTTACAGCACCTGCAAGTCTTTGAAAACAGTATTTTTAGTACAATATCCAACCTTGTACCCATGTGTTCATTTACTTGGTAGAGCAATTAGCAGTGCTCAGAAATACAGAATTGATTTTCCACCAGAGAGAGCATATTAAACAATATGTTCTATGCAGTGTTCTTCACAAAAATGTAGGTAATTGTGCTTAATAGGCTAAAGATTCTGCGTAAGAATTATACTCTCTGATTAAAACTTGGTTATAAAGTGAGTGCCTTGTACTGATGCAAAACTGACTTGGGAGTATTTTCAAAATACAGGGGATTTTAAAAATCTGTAAAACTCTGTGAAGATTAAAATAAAGTGGCATCTGAATATTTAGGTATACTTTCCAAACAAAATGCAACATTCTTTTATTAAGCAGCCTAAGCAGGCATAAGGAGGGAAACGAAACATTTTAATGTGGCAGTAGCTCAAAACCTTTAATTAAAAAACTGCTATTTGGAGTTGTACATTATTGACAGTCTGAAGAGCTGCTGCAAATCAGAGATATTACAGTGTTCACTCCCAAACCACTCTAACAAAGATGAATCTACCTATTACCAGGTTAGGATAGCAGCTATTATTAGGGCCCTTGATTTCTTTCAAGTAGCTCCAATGGAATAAGCCACAAGTGAATAATAAAGATCTTATAATAGCTCTTAACAATTCTTTTTAGGTTAGAAGGCACAGAAATGAACTCAGGAGAGTTAAAGAACTCTCATCTCCTGATAAGAAAAATAATTAACCTGACTTAATGTATCTGAGTAGGTCTTACATAAATCAGACTTTTGTACTTCAAGAGCCTGACTAAAACCATATATTAGAAGAGTATGTAGATATTGTCTTATAAGTACACATGGAACATATCTAAAACCACAAAGGTCTGCAGGTCATTTGGTGAAATGTTCAATATATCCTACTTAAAAGGAGATGTGTGAAGTACTTACAGTGCTTAGTTTGCTGGAGGTAATAATGATTCGTCTCTCATGCAACATACTGGCATAAAGTTGCAGCATGTTGTTCACATCCACAGCAACAAAATACTCAGTGAGGTTTCTCTGTTTGAATAAAAAAAAAAGTTAACAATATAGTAACAGTAGCAGTTAAGTGGAACATTTGATATATATTACTTGTGAACATTTTTGTCTAATTATTAGGTGGGAGAAAAAAAAAACCAAACTATTAAAGAAAGCCCTTTGCACCAAAATTTGTGCGCTTTAAAAATAATTAATTGGTGTTAAAGCAAATGAAAAGTTAACTGCAGCAAAAGTTATTAATATTTTGCTCATTTCATTTTCATTATGCTTGTGACTTACATTTTCCCTTTCATATTTTCAAATCAAAAAAATATGAGATTGGGTATTATATCAATATATGCTTTTAAGGTGACCACTACTTCCCTACTTCCAACCCAGGAACAGATCTTCCACCACGGTGATACCTGCTCTGTCACAGCTACAGTAATAAAACTGCTGCTTTGCCAGGGTCTCCCAAAGTCAACATATTTCATTCCATTTCAAGTACAGCAAAACAGCTTGTTGAACAATACCAAGCTTTTGCTTGAGCTGTGTGTGCCAGGACATCAAACATCCCACAGAACTGCAGGAAGGTACTGCAGGGGTCTTCCTGCAGCCACCCTTTTCACCCTTGGTAAGAATCCCACTGTGGGGCTTAATCAGAGGCAAAATCACCAGCACATTCCATTCAGAGTTCAGACATCAGAAAAGTGGGGGGAAAAGACAAAAAGGGTGGGGGGAATCTCTGTATTTCAGTTGAATGTAACAATTATTTCTGCACGGCACAGCACCAGAGACACACAAGTGCTGAATAAACTAAAATAGCTACTAGCAAAATTGCCTGGGAAAAGAGCAAATTTCTGTAAACACTGGAGAACATGTATGAAAATATACTAATACAGTCCTCAATATGCAAAATATTTCATTTCACATATTCATTATCATATCTGCAACCAGAACTGCTATTCATCTCTTGTCAGGGACAACACTGTTACTGAATGTTCATGTAGGAAGTCTACCAAGGATAGGCCCCAGCAGAAGGACAGACATCAACAGTGGAATTGTACACTAACATTCTATTCTGGATGTGGCCAAGACACAGCAGCAAGGTCACCCAGCCCTGCAAAAACAGCCAGGGCAAGTAGTAAAAGCTTCAGAGTGGGGTGACTTCCTTTTTGTATATATTGCAACATTAAAGAAAAATAAAACTGAAAAGCCAAACAAAGATCCAGTGGTCAATTCAGTTTCATTCAAATTTGTAAATCCACTATTAATTTCAAGACATGGAGTACTACTGTTATTCTTGGTCCACACTGCATAGAATTTTGGAAGAGATAAAAACAAGAGATTTAGGCCTACAAACACTCAGTTTTAGGGAAAAAAACGCTGTTCAAATGTTACTTTTAAGGGGTTGGCAGAGGCTAATGCATCATGAGAATCTCAGCCCAATTTACCTTGGACACCCTCTAACACTACAGTTGATAATGGTGTGCTGATTCTGTGTTCAAAAAGCTGTGTTAAAAAACAGTTCAAAATCTTTTTCAGACCAATTTATCTTTGGGAGACAGTCACAGTTATTTCTTTGTTATAGCTGAAAAGTTAGTGTCCCTGAAATACATGAACCTTACAACAAAAGGCAAAAAATTCATTTTATTGCTTATTTCCTGTAATTACCTCATTTCTTCACTCCTTGAATGTTCTAACTCCCCATTAGTACCTTACTATTTTGATTCTTACTGAAGGGATGAAACTTTTATTAGTGGAGTAAAAAATAATTATCAAAAGGCACCTTAAAATTACTTCACCTTTCTCGAACCAGAAAAATAAATCTACATTGGCATAATTGCAAGATCCTTGATCTGCCACATGCCCAGCTAGATGCTTTCCCATATTTTCTTCAATTAAAGCTCATAACACACCTTCTAGCCTCCAAAAGTCTATTTTATTAGAGCACCAAGTAATGAGATTCCTTAAAAAGTGAGGCATTCAAAACATAAGGTGAAACAGATGAAAATATACATTTAAAAACTAAGCCCTGTCCTGCCCAATGAGCCCTAGCAACATGTGTCCTCTCCTTTATCCCTCCATCCAGCAACTTCCCCTGGTTTCTGGAGCTGCAACATGGTCCATGCCACCTCCTCCGTGTGTTTTCCACCAGCACAGATGTGCCCTCATGCCTCCTCTCTGCTACCAGCAGCCTCCTGCTCCTCTCCCCTGGTGTTTCCCAGCTCTGGGTCCTTCCCTGGCACATCCCACCCTGCATTCCGCGATGCCGAGGGGAGCCGGCAGCAGCTCCCTGCTGCCCCAACACCATTATCCAGCAGGAACCAGCTCTGGGGCACTACAAGATTTTGGGAGCCCCCACAGCTTAACTTCCAGAAGGAAGGCACTGTTTGAATGTGTAAAAACACACCGATACAGCCATGCACAATTCCAGATTTAGAGGCTGGAGGGGGGGAAGAAACCTTTCAAAGCTCTTTTATGAGATGCTATCTAGCTAAACACATCACAGAGAAATTGAGCTGAGATTTCACATTTGCAATTTACCCACAGCATCATACAGGATATTTAGCATCTACAGAATGCAAGTCTTCATAAAGAAAATTTAAAAAAAAAACTACAAAAGAAAAAAAGCCCCAGACCCCCTGTTCCTGGTGCTTGGTTAGCATTCAAGTGTAGGCAGGTACAGCATGTTTTCAAAAAGCCTGAAACAATGCCTTCTTGCACAAAAAATGACTGCATATATTGATGGGTGAATTTGCAGCTGAGCAATGCAGTGTTTAAAGGGCAAACATGCAAACAAAACACAAGGTGCAGAAGTAGAATATATTTTATATAAGTAATCATAGTAAATGCAAAGAAGTCAACTATGAGCAAAGAGTAGATATAGAAGTGGTCAGAAATGCCCTGTTAATGCTTTAAAATGGGTTAATGAATGCAACAGTAACTACCAACTAAAGGTTGCAATAACAGACATCAATCATTTCTAAATCAGTCTTAGGAAAAAAAAAAAAAAAAAACTCTCGATAAAAGCAAAAGTTCAGCCTAGCCCAAAATGAGGTTAAATATGAAATGGAATACTTACACTTTCAGGGATAGTTGGCAATCCAGTTATATCAGGAGTAATGAAATACGAGTGCTAATTGATGGGAAAAAATAATTGATAATTTATGCACACAGGAGAAAAAATTCTTTTCATAAGAACCCAGCATTTAAGATTTCCAACCCCATCTGTGTTTAAGCAAATAGCCATTTTTCTAATAACATTCTTACTGCTGCTAGACAAAGAATTAAGCAGATCACGACATGAAATGACAAGCTCTGGTTCTGCACAGCACAAAACCAGGGGAACAAAATGCTGTGCTGCAGTTTTGAAATAACACTGAAATTAAGCCAGCTTTAAATGTTGTCATGAGCCTGAGAGTAGCATTGATTAAATTAAGCATTGAATTAAAAATTGCAACAAAAAAAATGCTAAAGGACAAAATGTAAATTTAGAATGGAAAAGAAAAACCACTCACATGAGAAAAATATTTCAAATAGAAATATTATTACTCGATATAAATTCTCTTTCCAAACATCTTTGAACCAAAAAATGTGGTAACAGAAATGCAAGATCTGAAGCCTGAGATCCTGCAATCATTTATGAAATACATTAACAATTTTATGCATCTTAGTTTGAGGCCTTCTAGGATGTAAATATAAAATGGGTTAAACTAAAACCAGATGTAATGTAAATTAAGTCTCATTAATCCAATGCTCCTATTAGTTATCAGACATGGATTTAGCTCAGTAATTTTAAGGCATTTTTGCATGTTAGCCTAAATTTTGAAAGAGAAAAAAAATGACTGCATGTTAAATAAATAATTATTGATTTTTAGCTTTTGGTGGTTTTTTTACAGAATTTTGTTGTTTCTACAGTATATTTTTACAATTGTAATTAGCAACACAAAGACATAGCTTTATAGTTCTCAAGTCAAACTTGAAAAAGATATACCAAAACTAAGACTATAAGACTTAAATGTGTCTTGCATTCAAGAAAAAAAAAATAATACTATTAACTCTGTGTAGGAGACTTATTAAACCAGCTTGATACATTTAATAGAAAGTTCTCCCCACAAATTAGGTCATTTGGCAATAGTTAAAATTTAAGAAAAAACTGGCTTAAAAAAGGCATCCCATAAACATCATACCACTTGCACAATAAATATCACAGGTATTGTTTCCCATCAACACAGGAAAAGAAAATATTTTTTCCTCTGCTCAAGAAGAAGAAAATATTCCGATTAAATTCAGAATGCCTGAGTTCTTCAGAAGTACATTGGGAACAGAAAATTATTCCCTATATGTAATAAGGTCACAGAATATTTATCAAAAGATTTCTCAGTAATGAAGTTATTAACTTAGAGAAGTAATTACTTCTAATTAACAAAGTAATAATATTTCACTCATTAAACAGAAAAGGAAGCCAGATCTATGAGAAGCAAAAGCTATTACTGCAGTCATTAAGAGTCATAAAGCAGCAAAAATACTGTGGTATGGAGTCCTTGCACATCTTTGTGAACTCCCTTAAGAAGATGAGTGACCTTGGAAGAGATACTAAATTAATAGCTGTTGTCCTGTACAAAGTTTTCTCCAAAAAGGACACTGGAAAATGCAAGTTTTGCTCATCAGCTCAAGGGTTTGATTTTTGTAGCAGTTTTTACCAAAGGATTATGATACACACACACATAGCTCTGAAGCTGGATTGAAACAGAAAAGGTACATTAATATTAGATGGGTCATTTAGGCCAAAGACAGCAGCAGAATTCCCCAAAGAACAGGTGTAAATAAGCCTCAAATCAACAGAGATGTCCTATAGCAAGTGATTATTTATTTAATTATTATAGCTTTTAGATAGTCAGTGCCTTTTAAACTCACCGATACAAGACAAGGCTGTTTTTTCAAAACTTGCTCACTTGCAAAAATCATCTCTTGGTTCTTATGCAAGATGAGAGAAAGATTGAACAGTTGACTTTTGAGTTTTCCAACAAAAAAGGCCAAAGCTGGCTCTACTGCTTGTAATATTCCATGTTTAAAATATTGGCTGAAAGTAAGTTTTATTCCTTTTATTCCTCCCCCTTTCGAATTCAGACTAAGCTAGTTCCCAATAACGACAATATTTTTAAAAAATTAAAACAAACAAAAAAAGTGACCTAAATTATTTTTAAGCTCAGGTTTCATAAAACAAATGACCACCTCATATATTTCATCTGCAGAGTATTTGTTACTGGGACCAACAGAGAGTACAACTTGGTCCCTAACTGGACAAAGGCATTTTCACCAAAGATTGCTGGGAAACACCACATATCCCAATATTGGATGTAATTTATGCACAGTTATGCACACACAATCCTAAGGACCACTGTGGTCTGCCACCCAAACTCTGCTGCAGTATCCATGAGACTTTGCAGCACATTTTTGAGTGAATGAGATCTGAACCAGACTGATCCTGGCACAAGGAAAAGCCATCTCAGGGTATCATTTCTACAATTATTTTTAGACTGTAATTTCTTTTTAAGTCTATGACTACTGATGGTTCCAGTCTAGCTTCTTTTACCATATCTGAGGACCAAAAATGAAACATCAATACAAAAGACTAGAACTGCAAGTGGCAATAAATATTTCCCTGCTCCCTGCAGCATTACAAAAATAGAGACATCTTTAGATCCAACAAGCATTGGGATTCCAGCTGACCCATGCCTCCCTGCTCTGCCCTATCTGAACCCACAATATTTGCTCTACTGTCCCTGCAGCCAAGCATTTGGCAAGAGGTTTGCATTTCAGTAGCCATTGTTCAGCAAGTAAGATTACAAAACTCTTTGATATAACTGGGAACAAGGCATAATTGAGGAAAAACAATTCCAAAGTCAGACAACATTGAAATAAAACCAAGAAGTATCGACTTTATAGCAAGCAATCTGTCATTTCAGTGTAGCCAGCTGTATTCACCAAGACAGCCATGTCCACATTCCCCACAACATTCATTTTGAGGTGAGCAAGTTATGGACAAGATGAACTTTCTGAGAAATACAAGGGAAAATATATTTGAAACTTCTTTATGTCCCTCTGAACCACAGGAGTTTTGAAAGACATTTTATAAAGCTTTTTAGAGTTGTCAAATGATAATTGGTTGTAATACTACATTTAATGATAGCAAAATAGTATTTGAGATACAGAAGTATTTTTGGCAAAGGCGCCAGGAACTGAAACGCTACACTGACAACAGAAAGAAAAACCATATCAACAGAAACAATTCTAACTGCAGCCTCAAATCCAGTTCATTGTTTTGGTAAAAAACAACACACAAGACTGAAAGGACTTCCAAACACAGTCAATTGCCACTATACATGGTGGGAAAATACTAGATCTCTATAGCCTAGTGAAAACACAATCTGAAATATGAAAAATTAAAATAAAATAAAGGTAGCATTATGTTAAGCAGCAAGGATCAGTAACTGCTGGAACAGAAGTGGTAGACCCCATTTTTCCTGCCTTAATAACAGGGCCAGATGCTTTTCTAGAATCTCTGCTTACTTCAATTGATATACAGGGCTTATTTCTAAGATACATTAAAAGTCACAAGAAACCACACAAATAAGGTCAAGATAAATAATCTAACAATACTGCAGTGTGTGTGGAAGTGAAGCCTTTACAAAATCTCTATTTCCCATGTCCTGCAATGCGTGATGGTTCAACCAAGAGCCAGCTGTTTGCATGCTGTGGCAAGTGCAGTAGCTGTACAGATGCTCTGAACATGCAAACGGCTCAGAGACAACAGAGGTTCTGTGCTGCCTTTATATTTCAAACAACCTCTACAGAAGCGTTTAAACATGCACTCACAAGCTAATTCTGGTTAAAACGTCAGGAACCATAACAATGACATATCCACTTTCTGATGTTTCTGCAGCAACACCATCTTGACCCACTATTACCATCCCATCTCACATCAAAAACAGTTCAAGCACAAAAGCAAAGGAAAGCTGGACACATTTCACTGAGATGTGCTCAAAGTTCCACATAACAGAGTGTACTTCTACTGCTCTTCCTACAGCATTTTTGTATGATTAAGCAAAACTAGGAAAAAGGGGAAGAAAGATGGGAAAGCAGCCAGCTTTCACAGACTTTTGACCAATCCTGAAACTGTACCTACTCAGACATGAGAGGCAATAAAACTGAGTTAGTGTCTCCTGATGCACAGCAGGAGAAACCAAAATTGTCTACATGAAACAGCTGGAAACACAAAAAAGTAGTTCTAGCACTGTCAGATCCCACTGCAGTTTACTTTCACATCCATAGAGCAAAATTCAAATTTCTTCTTCTTTATGACTATGACTTTCAGGAAACAACATGAGACAGAGACTGTCTCTACCCTGCACAGAAGGAAAAAAAGAGGTTGCCCAAGCCAGTTAATGATGGGAAGCAACACAAATTTACTCTTTCAAAGAGTTGAGGTTTCTTTCTCTTTCAACTTTACCTACTATTTCATAGTCAGTAGGAATAAAACAGAAAAAATACTTACCACACTTAAACTGACAAAAGCATTCGCCTTTGGCACAGGATGGTTATACAATGATTTCAACAAATCATTTGAGTCATTTTCCTATGGGGAAAGCATTTTAAAGTTAATGAATTATCATATAAAAACTAATTACTATTTACTACACATCAAACTACATATTGACAAAGAAATATAAGTATTTAATAACCAAAACAATTGTAATTCTACTACAGTGAAACAGAGACCAAAACCAAGGTCTAATTACAGCATTTGTAAGACTTGTATATATTCCACTTCATTGAATCACACAGATAATACCAAATTTTCCTATTTATCTTTTAACATACAATATCATCATTCTCTAGAGTCCATTTACTGTAATACATAATTATTTCTTATTTTATACTTCATATATTTTTGATGTGTCGGCTTTTCCAGTCTACAGCATATGGCTAAATATTGATGCTTTTTTAAAAATTGAAATCTAATACACTATAATAATAATATAAAGCAGAAAGGTATATCTTTAATGTTGTCAGTAAAGACAGATGCCAGTGGGTCCTTTGGTGTGTAATCTTGGAATACATCTAATTGCTCATGAATATGCCAACTAAACTATCATGATTCTTCACCAAATGTTGCAAGTAATTTTGTCTTGCTACTTGAGATGTCAGAATTACAAGAGGTAGTTTTTAGTTAATCTGAAGGGTGAAACAGTACATCGTATTTTATACAGTTCTGAACAAAAGTGTCTGCAGCTGATAATCAGATAGTTCCAGAGAGCTACAGTTTACAATCAATACGTCATGCAGCTCTCCAGTGATGTGACACTGCTCACACTTCACAGAGGACCTCTTTATGCTGAGACTGACAAGTTTTAAAGGTATGTTTTCAGCAGCTTTTTTAGAATGACGTGGGATTCAAGTGACTGTGGAAGCTGTATGTTCAAATTATTTGAATTTCAATAATAGGAATAAAACTTGCTTCTAAATCCTACTAAAACCTGAAACTTTTAAGCCGTACAGAATCCCTTTACAGTATTTGAAATGGTGCCTAATATTTCAAGGAAAATATTTTACACAAAGAACTAGAATATGTAAAATTACCTGTTCTTTAGCCAAATAATCTGCCAGGGTATTTAGGAGCTTGTAGTATACCTCAAACCATGGTAAGTAACTAAAACAGGAGAAAAAAAGTGTTTTAGTAAAATATCAATGTATTTTTCCAGTGCTTATTAAATACTGCGATGATTGATCTGACTTGCACATTTTTATAACATCTCTACATACAAATAAAAAGCATATCAAAATTTTCCCCAAAAATTCAATGGCACATCACTGATAGACAGTACAGATATATGGTTTCTTTATGCTGGATACTTGCATGAAGTTCCATTAAGTGCAGACTAACTCATAATACTTAGATTTCTTAGCGTTTTCAAGGCACCAAAAAAACATTTGAAACATTTTCTAATCTCATGCCCACTATCACTAATTGTTACAGATTTCAGTAGTTATTTGCAGTTTTGAAACTCCACATCTTCCTATAGCCAGTGGGCTGACAGACCTGCTGCTTCCCTGCAGAATGAAAAACAACTTTGTTTGGGCAGACCAGGTACCCCCTATTTGACAAGTGGTGCAATGCTGTGCAATAGTAGAGATGTCACATTATATGTAAGAATATTGGTCTCCCCATAAAGTCATTTCTACACATAAAATTAACTTCCAAAATAAAACCACTGCAAACACAAACACATTAATACAGCTATACTTAAGAGACTTTTAACATAAGTCTGAAGCCCGTGAGCACAATACTCTCACTGAGTTAAACAGAATTCAAGACAAATGAGACATAACTGAAGAGTACAAGAAAAGAATCTCAAACACAGTGGTATCAGTTCCAATTTGCTTTCTGTTTACAGAAGTTCTCTTTAAGAGTGATATTATCAGAAAGTTCTGTACATGCTAAAGAACTTTCCACCATCACTATTTAAGCCATTAAGTTGGATAAACTAAATAATAACAATATAAATTATGCCTTGTTTACAAGTTACACACCTTCTCATGTCTGTTAGAATTTTATCACAAACATTACTGAATAGGTAATGTTATAGTTAATAGTAATTGTTAGATATTAGAAGGGGGAGCTGTAAAGGAAATAGTGCCTGAAAGGTTTTCAGAACATTTCATACCCATATAACAGTACTACAGACTCCATTCTTCAATACAGTGTAAATCCACAGACATTCATTTCTTAAAAGCTTTAGTTCATGCTGAAGACAGACCTTACATTTCAAATGTATATATTCCAGGAAATATGCTAACTGCAACTGCAAAAACCCAGTATGCAGACCCAAAATGTTTTCCCTGATAGGAGAAGGAAAGCTGTCAGGGGAAACCCTGGCTGGTAGAGAAGCCAAGTACTGCTTTGTGCAGTGAGTCCAGTGAAGGGTTATGTTTTCTTTGTAACACCTCTGTTCTCAGTATGCAGCTGGCAAGGCTTTAGAAACAGATCCTGATTCTTCAGAAAAAGAAAAAGCACAGCAGAAATCCAAACACAGTTATAGTTAATGCATTTTCTAGGAATTTTGCTGTCTTTATAAATGCTTTAACTACTGGCTCCTAAAAAACAAAACTAAACAAACCCACCCCCCCCAAAAAAAAAAAACCAAAAAAAAAAAAAAAAAAAAAAACAAAAATCCATCAAGAATTTGTTCTTGCCAAGCCAAAGAGACAGAGGCAATGATTTAATGATTTCCTTTAACTCCACCATATTAATGCCTTTATCACACTTTACCATACATTGTGCTAGCTATTAATCGAAACAAAATGAACCTCTTAATGCTCACAGACGTTTTTAATGCTTGGTATTGCTGACAGTGGTTAAGGTGTGACATTATTACATTTGTTTTTAAATATTTTCTTAACATCATAATAAAATTTACTTTAGTGCACCTTTGTAAGGTCACTCACTGCTTACAGGTGTGAACATTCCATGCCTTCATAAAACACCCACCATATCAGCACCTAAAACATTGGGTCTTTGAGCATTCTTTCACCTAGGACGCCTGTTCTATTATCTTCCCAAATAATGCTAACCTGGTTTTACACACCACTGAAACACAGCACAGAGAGGCGAAAAGAATTAATTGTTCTCTGCAGTGCTCAGAGTTTCTGCAAATGTCAGAGCTGTGAAACAGCTTCACAACCCAGAATTACAGCAGGGACTAGGACACTGTCCTAGCATTTTGTCAAAGTCAAGGTACAAGGTGGGTATAAATCTCAAAGTATTTTTATAACACTGCACACACAAATGGGTAAGACTACCTAAAGGCTTTCCAGTTTCTTGCTATTACCTCTGTGTTAACAGTATATATGACCCCAGCACATTTTGCTGTAGAATACTCTGAAATCTCATCTGATAATCTAGTTTTGATAATGAACATGTATGAACAGCATTCTATTAAAAAATTGTATTGCAATAAAATATTAACCATACTTCTTTTCTATACGCATGATCTCAGCTACCCTATTCCTGAGAAAAGAAAAACTAAATGCAATTTTTAAGCATTTAAAAAGGTCAAATTAATTATTTGAAATTAATGAACCCTAACAGAAAACCAAGGGAGATTTTTATTTCATACAGCAAGGCATGCTGACCAGAGTGCTTGCATAGAAATTTCTTCTCTTAGCAACACCAGGACGATGATACCCTTCCACGTCTTTGTGCAAATGAACCACTAAGGAAAACAACCTACTTGACCATTGTTTATGAAAGTCAGTTTCCTTTACGAGCTGAAAGAATATGAAAGTACTGCTTTAAGCCTTATAACCACAGACACAAGGTTAATATCATTTCAATGTGCCTCTTAGATCTGAAATATTAAGGAAATTAAAACAATTACTCCATTACATTTATGGCATGAAACCAAAGAATCTGCCAGAACCTGCCCTCTGCTTCTTTTCTACATAATCTTCAGTTCTTCAATAGCACGGCCTAATTGCAAAAGCTTTTGTCAATATTTCTAATTATAATGTGCTTCAACAAAATATTACAAAGATGTACTGGAAAGCAAAGTTCTCTTTATATTGTTCTTTTATATATTTGCTAATTGTAATTCATTCAGCATAACAAAGAATTGTTATACCTGTTTTTTTCATAAACAGTAAAGAGTGCATATGCATGTGTGCATATACAATGCATCTCTGCATTCGAAGTAAACACAGGCGTCTTTGTTCATGATAAAGACACCAACAGGTGGTTTTATGGATTCTCAACTCAAAGACCAAGTCCAAGCTCTTTGCAATTTGTTAAATCCTCAAGGCTGTCAAGCAACACTCCTGGCCTCTTCCATCAGAGGCTAATTTTGGAAGCACGTTTGTAAATAATCCTATTAATTGACTTGGTCTGCTCTAGGAAACAGATTTATTTGTAGATAAACACTGGATACTATAGGCTTTACATCTTTATCCAATATAACATATTGGACAAACAACTGTATATGGAATCATAGAATCCTATCGGTTGGAAAACACCTGTAAGACCATTGAGTCCCACCATCAACTCAACATTGCCAAATCTACCACCAAACTGTGTCCCAACCACCACATCTACCTGTCTTTTGAATCCCTCCAGGATGGTGAATGCACCACCTCCCTGGGAAGCCGCTTCCAGTGCTCAACAATCCTTCCCATGAAGAAACTTCTCCTAATATCCAATCTAAACCTCCAGTGGTGCAACTTGAGGCTGTTTCCTCTTGTCCCGTGACTTATTACCCAGGAGAGAGCCCACACCCACTTGCGACCTCCTCTCTTCAGGTGGTTGTAAAGAGCTGTAAGGGCAGCCCTGAGCCTCCTTTTCTCCAGGAAAAACACCCCCAGCTCTCCCAGCTGCTCCTGATCAGGCCTGTGCTCCAGAGCCTTCACCAGCTCTGTTACCCTTCTCTGGACCTTCTCCAGCATCTCAATGCCCTTCCTCAAGTGAGTGGCCCAAACCAAACAGAGTTCAAGGTGCTGCCTCACCAGTGCCAAGTACAGGGGGACAATCCCTTCCCTGGTGCTGCTGGCCACACTACTCCTGATCCAGGCCAGGATGCCCTTGGCCTTCTTGGCCACCTGTGCACAGCTGGCTCTTGTTCAGCTGCTCCCAAGCCCTCTTCTACCAGGCAGCTTCCCAGCCACTGTGCCCCACCCTGGAATGCTGCATGGGGCTGTTGTGATGTATGCACAGTACACAGCACTTGGACTTGTTGGTTTGTTTGGCATTTGTTTGTATGACAGCTAAAATCCAGAAGCATTTCAGGTCAAAGGATCTCCTTACTTTGTCCTGTTAACAAATCTTGCAAAATTATTTAATCTTTGCTAGCACAGTAGAACTAGTCTATGTACAGAAAATTCATACAGCTCTCAAATGTCCATCAACATCTATTAGCTGGGTAACTATTTTTTTCAATACTGTACAGAAATGCCTTGTCTCAAACACGTAGTTTTTAAGTGGCTGAGTTTGACAGATGAGACCTGTAATATATTACTCCTCCTAATTCAGAACTGGCACACTAATATGTACACTAATATGTACCTTACACTCTAAGGTGTACCTTAATGTGTTAAGGTACACACTAATATGTACCTTAACAACAGATAAAATCAAAATTAAAGTCCATTACCAGAAAAACCTCACCACCATACCTGTATTCATAAAATTATTTATGAGCAGTCAGTACATTTCATAATTAATTAGCTGTCTTATGAAAACGTCTAAAGGTTATCAATGAAGCCCCTTCACAGTACAGAAAGTAAAGTCAGGGCTTTAATATTCAATTTTAATGTATTTGGAAATCTAAATTAATTTAAACTACAAAACTGCTACTGGTTCCTTATTTATTTTTCTTTAATTGTAGCCATTGCCCTTGCATTCCTCAAGTTACAATCAATAACTGCTTGAAAAACAAACATGTAAGAGAAACACAGGACAACATCCAAAACCATACAACAATTTCTCTAAGTGTTTCTTCCATAATCAGGAGAAACATAAAAACATAGACAATATGAATAGATATATATGCTGTGATGGAGAATACAGGGATCTTTATTTAAAAGTACAGCCCCTGACTGTCAAAAAAGCAAGAGACCAAGATCCTTCATGCTTAATTAAAAACATACTTAGCATTTTCTCTTAATCCAAATGAGCCACAAGGCAGGAGCTCAGACTTTTATTCAAAGTCATGCACAACCCTTGTTGCCGTAAGTAGACTTCCACCTCACCAGTGCTTCTACTACAGCTCTGATAAAACTTTTACATTCATGAGTCAAAGGTTAAACAAAGGAGAGGAAATGTTTTCTGTCAAATAGTCAGGTAACCACTAACAGTCCTCAACTATCAGCAGGAATCTAACTTCTAGCAATCAAATAAAACTAAGGAAACTGCCTTTCCGTAGCTAAATGCCTAATGTCTAGGGGCTACTTTTCTGTCTGGAAAATTGACACAAAATGTGTGAAATTGAAACATTCTGCTTCTAAGGGATTTGCCTAAAGGAAGAGTGAAAAAGTTTAAGCGTGGTCTGAACTGAAGAACTACAAAGCCTTACCACATAAACCTGTCTTCCTTATTAGAGCATTTCATTTGGAAACGTAGGTGACAATTTTACAATCATAAAATTAATGAAATCTAAGACTGAGCATTTTAATGATGCATTTTGTGTTCCTCTGCATACCTAAGGTCGGCCTCAGTGTCCATCAAGAGTTTCAAATTATATGTACTTTGTACTAAAACCATTCAGGTAATTCAAAATCATTTTCATGTAAACCCAGAAAGTATTATTTCCCCTGCAAGCAGCAGTGATATTAGAAACAAAACCCAAAAGAATTAAGTCTACTGTTATTCAAAAGCAGACATTCAAGTTTCTACTGCACCGCTTCAAACCTCAACTAGCAAAACCATTAACCAAAAATAGGAAAAGTAAAACTAGGAGAAAAGATCCAGTATAGGATATGAGCTCAACAAGGTATTTTACAATATGCCTATTGTGTATCCCTTGTCTTACAGGGCCGCATTAGCTCAACACTTTGTGGAGAGGGAGGAGGTGACACAGCAGGATTCACACCGAGAGCTTCACTAAGCAGCCATGCAGCTTAATGAAAAGCACTAAATTAAATAAAACCTGCAAAGGAATCACACAGCATTTCTGGAGAATAATTCAAGAGTTAGTTTCTCATCTTACTATGCTTTAGCACTTTGAATTTGGCAACTGCAGTCAAGCTCTGCTCATTCATTCTAGACAATACAATATCACAATTAAGTTCTTCAAACAAAAATGCCTGAGAAAGCTACCTTGGGAAAATTTTAATTCACTTTATAAACATAGAGAGTATTTGAACAATACATTCAGATTTGGAAGAAAATACTATTTACACAATTCATATACGTGTGTATATGAAACGCAAAAAAACTCCTTAAAACTTATAGAGGAATTTTGTATGTACAAGTATATTTTCTGTTTCAAACTATCCTGTTTAAAGCAGAACCATGTGGCTGCAAATTCAGAGATAATTTCCTTTAATTAGTGCTTCAGATGGAGAATTAATTATAGACCAAAGTCCCATAAACGACCAGACTTTAATCTTACATGCAACTCTGAGTTGCTGCTGTAAAACCTGAGGACAAGCAATCCTTACTTCAGCTTTCAGTTAAGAATCCCATTCAGAAGCTGAAATTCTATCTCTTTAGAAGCCCTGGCATAGGTTAACACATGGCTTGGTACTATCCACAAAAGACATGTACAAGGGAAAAGCTGTGTCCTGTTGCCCACTCATCAGCTTACTCAAATTTCTACGGTATTTCCTTCCAATCACTTTGACTGGCTTGTTCCTGCTTGTCTTTACAGATTTATAGCTACATTTCAGTTATTTACGACAATTCAACTAAGTTTTCTGTATTTAACTATCTCTAATTGTCTTTGTCAATGATGCCTCAGTTTATTAAGTCCTCTTGTCCCAGGGGATACATCCATGTGCACAGGAGAAGGCAGTTTGACATGGCACCCATTATATAAACACACAGGTGCAGATGTAAAGTCCGTGGCTGTAGTGCACACACCTGTGATGAACAAGTAGTCTGAATTGCCCATACATCAGCCATCATGTGTATACACATAGCAAATATCATTTTACGTGGTTTTGATATATGGACAAAAGCAAGGTAGAACATAAACACACATTCTATATATAAAGACAGCATTTTATTTTTTAATTATTTTGGTTAATTCAAGAACAATAACCACATGCAAAGGAGAGACAGATAAAATGCCCAAAGAAGTCTGCTTAGTCTTCTTTCACTTGGTCACTTCTAATGAATCTTGGGATTCAGAGTGAAAACCAGACTGTCTACTAGAACACATCAGATGGAAATAGTGAAGCATTCCTTCCATCTGAGCTAAACACAACACAACACACACATATATTCTGGAGATAAGCAGAGTACCCAGCCACGAGTGCAGTGCTATGAAGCTAGTGCTGTTATGCATTCAGCTGTGCATTGTAAATTTGAAATTGTCACAATAAAAGCAATAAAGGCAATGCTTTGGATATGGTTCACTGAAAAATTATAGCTTGCCACTTTTCATTTTCCTACTTATTTCTACCAAAGAACAGACCACTGACTAATCTTCAGCTGATGCACGTCCATGGGGGAATGTTAAAAGAAATACCCAGTTTACACCAGCTGAGAATTTACATCCTTTGCTTTGCAGCACTCCATACAGTACTTAAATGCACTTGAGTGTGCATAACTGATTAAATGTTGTTACAGCCACACCAACAATGCATAAAATTTTGTTTCTAGCTTGATGAGGGAAGAAAAGATTAACTCAGAGAAAAGAGCTAAAAGCATACACATAGATTTTTACTCTGGGCTTTAATAAGTTATATAAAACAAGGTGCCACAGAGAAAATGGTTAAATCTTCACATTCCAAAAGCCTAAGATTTAAATCCTTCTGAAGTATTACTAAAGACATATTTTAAAGATCCCAGAAAGTAAATTAATTTCCAGAATAAAATATTTCCCTTTTGTTACTTTCATTATATGATTTTTTTTCAATATTTAGAGCAAACATTTCTTTTTAAATTACTTGCCAAAAACCATCCAGCATTTGGCATATATTTAAAAGTTCATTAAAATCTTGATGTGCTCTTTCCAATAATTTTAAGCACTACTCTGTAAGTCTCTATATTGGCTGGTCTTTTTTTCCCCTCAGTGTTCATTTACTGATAATCCTTTTACAAGCTGATGTTGGGTTTTTCTCCCTAACTCATATGGCCTTATGACACCCTCCAAAACTACCTGATTTCCATGTTGCCCTAAAACCTGAGAACCTGTTTTTATCCATATTCTTCCTAGCTACTCTCCAAAATTCTCTTTCCCCTTTGCTGCCAATGCATTTGGCTCCTGCTCTCTTGTGTTTGTCCATATTCTCACTTGAAAAGCAATTTAAATTCAATTTTGTTCTTCCTATTTGCTGCTGAACTGGATATTCCCATTTCCTCTATTAGGCTTGCAGGCTGCTAGGTCCTTAATAGAAGTTGCAAATTTGTCTTTTAATGAGATCACTTTGCCTTTAATTTAATTAAAATGATTTTAGGACAGCTATATTGGGGGGGTTTTGTTACAAAAACAATTATCTTAAGAAAGATGAAAGAAAAGCAGAGGGAGAAACAAAGTATTTCTTTGGGGTCAGTCTCCCCAACATCAGTATCTCCTCTGCAACAAAACAGCATGCTCTCGTGAACCTCGTGAACTCTCTGATTTTTCTACTAGATATAGTCTGGGCAAAAAACTTGGAAGAAACACCCAAAAATCTGTTTTCCAAGGACAGGAATACAGAATAATGCACTTTATTGTTGAATTGACAGGGTGCTTGTCAAAGATCTGATTAGAAAGTAAAAATATCCACATAACAGTCCAAGACTCTAAAGCTGCAATGTATTGTTCTCTGTGTTTAAGCAGAGATTTCATGTTATTTAAATAAAATTATCTAGCTTCACAGAAGAATACCATCATATGGGACTTGGGGACACTTTTTATGTGAAAGCAATGAAAAAAGCATAGAAAAGCAATACCCTGATAGCAAAGTTAAACACATTACCAGAGGATTTGTAAAAAAATAATTTTTTCTTGTATTTTCCATATTCACTCATTGACTCAATGTTTATTGCACCACCTTACCTTAGAATACAGAGGCAGACCTTGCCTCCTGACGTCAAACGGCAGAATCCAAACCTTTGCTTACTTTCAATGTCAGTGAGCACAAAGGTGAAATGCTGTCCTACTTGGTTTTGGGACACCCTGAAAAACCAGATACAGAGCACAAAACCATTAAATCACATAAAACATGAGCATTTAAGTCATTGGTCTCAGGTATTTTCATGCTCAATCCTCACTGTAATTCTCAATACAATTCTATTGTCTGCTGTTCTTTTCCAGTTCTTACACAATGTTGTACAGCAGAATACCTAAGAACCTGCTAGTAATGATTAAAACCTGCCATTTCTGGTTCAATCTTAGATGACCACACTGCAAATTAATTTCCAGAGGAGCTAAAAATCCTCACAGACCCCTGTCTACCAGCCAGAGAGCACAATTTATTTTTTTTTAATTTATCCCTTGCAATATGAGGCAGGGGGAGTTTTTGAGGTTTTGCTGGTTGGTTTGGGGATTTTTTTTCATCTCCAGCAAAATAAAACACAGAAAATCTACCCCCTAGGGGAAAAAAAAAATGTAGCAGTTGACCTGTGCACCCTGGGTCTCCCACAGAAACCCAGCAGCAGCTGCTCCAAGCAGTGACCTTGGCTGCCTCTGCTCCCACCCTCTCTGCTCGGCCATGTCCCACTCCGAGCCTTGGAACTTCCAGCAGCCCGGCCTGGCTTCTTCCTCACACCATGAAACACCTGGCAGGGTTAGGCTGGAGGCTCTATGCATAACCATATTAACCCAAATTTGTTTTAATGTGCTGTGTACACCTATGTCAGGCAAAATGTCTGTACACAGAGCCACTTTGAAAATGAGATATAAATTCTGATCTTTTCTATTAAAAATAGCACAGCCAAGTTATGAGTTCAGTGGGAAGCATTTCTGATGGCATCTCACCATCTCCAAATCACAGTCTTCCCTTTCCTTCTCTAAGAGAGGCAACTCCATGTTTTGACAGCCAGTGAAAAAGTGGCCCGGCTTGAAAATTGCTTCCCACACAGTTTAGAAAGAGATGTGAGCAGCAAGTCCCAGATTTTTAATATGAGAAACACTCCAAGGCTAAAACTGAATTTCCACAAGAACCCAGAAGTTTGCATTTGGTCCCATTTGCTTCAAAAGAACAGCTAACAGTGACCGACCATCCATCTGGACCACATTTTCTGTTCAGTTTAAAATACTGAATTAATTCTGGGTTTCTAATTTGAGAGCTCTACTTAAGATGTGGGGGCAGCAAGGATGCCTGTTTTTCTACTCCTCTTCAGCAGAATTAAAACTGACTCTATGCAAGCCTTACCATGAAAAACGAATGATGATTGGGGATTTCAATCGATAGATGACCACAATGTATAAACCAGACACATAAAACATTCCACAAGTGCTAGCACTACAGTTTTAACACATACATAGCATGTTCCATCATGCAGACAAACACTGGCCAAGTGACTTGGGGTTTGTGCCTCTCTGTTTCACTGCAGCACATTCAGGTTGTTCAGAAATCAAATCTCCCCTCCAGAAACAGGCAGCAGCTCCTGGCCCTGTGACCTGGACCACAGCATTGATGCCTCAAGTTTTCTTAGCATGAAAACCAGCACAGATAAAAGGAAATTATCATATACCAGAATTCCCTCAACAAAATGTTATCCAGACTTTTTATTGGAGCACAAGATAAAGTATCCCAGCTGCAAAACCTTTCTGCAGAATGCTGGTTTAGCCAGCTGTTTGAAGGGAGCACGATCTGCTCACTTGCAAAGGGAGAGCAGGCACAAATCGTTCTCAACCAGTGCTGACATTCTCCTCACTCATTCCTCTGCCTTGCGTTTGACTTGCTTTCAACTCTTGCCCTGTATGCTTACTTTTAATGTTAGTTCAATAATAATAAATCACTAATAATGAAGAATGCGTGTAAATACTTATTAACCCTGCAGACTACAATGGGCTCTTTCAAGGTTATTACAGTTCACTATAGAAATAAAAATAGGTTTTAAAATTTTCTGTGTACATACACAATGCAGAAAAGGATCTTTAGTACCCATGGAGTAGGTAAAGAGTCATTTTAAAGATTTTTGTTTACACTACAGCAATTGCTTAGGCCTCATTTTAAGAAAGCCTTGAGAGAGTTGATTAAGGCAGGAACTGAATCTCTCCTTCAAACAAAAAACAGCATATCTAATCACTAAATTTATCCTTTGCTCTCCACAAAAACTGCTCTTCTTCCAAATGATTTTGTTTAGGATAGAGAAGATGTTTTAATTTAATTTTTTCTTCAACTTTCAGAAATTTTGAAGAGTTTCAAAAAATTTAGGGCCTTATACATGGGAATAGAGCTTTCTGTTTTCTTTTAAAAATAAGTCTTAATGTTATTGTTACTTATATCATGTACATGTCCTTGATCAATGCAACTAATACACACACTTCTGACTGAAGCTTTCATGGCTGCTACTTAAACGTGAAAGTTTCACGTGTATTACAACTGCCAAACTGATTGGGAAAACCAAACCCCTCAGTCACCAGTCAGTCACCCTAATTTCCCAGATCAAAGAACAGAACAGAAACCACTTCAAGCAGGAATTTGAAAACCAGATGTTAAGGTGGTGGTACAAGCTGATGGAGAGACTGGGGAGACAGTAACACTAGGTTGGGAATCCTCCTTCAGCTAATTGCTATCCCCTAATCTAAGCTTCAGGGACTATTTTCTTCACTTCCATGCCCATTCCAGGATCCACTAGTCCACAGCTCAGGTTCCCTGTGTGGAGACCCGCTCTGTTCCAACCAAGCTATCTGATTTGAGCTCTGCCTCCTTAAAAAAAAGGAACAGGAGAAAAACTGCAGAAGATATGAAAATGGACAATACCACCACCAAGTAAGAAAATTCCCACAAATAAAAAGCACAGTTAGCTTATTAATGGGGTTATGTTTTCATAACAACAGAAACATTAAAAGAAACCACAACTAGTGAGTAAAGAGTCTCACTGGGAGTATTTCAGTTGCAACAGAAGCGTGTCTGGAAGCTCTGTCTCAGGGCCCTGACCATCACACCTGGTCGAGGGTCTATGGGAGCACACGGTGGCTCCCTCAGCATTCCAGGTTTCCTATCAGACAGGTGCATTTCTGCACACACACAGAAACCAACCAACCCCTGAGTGAAATCAATAGTTACACTGACAGTACACTCTGTAGCCTGTCCTTACACTTGTCTCTCACACACACATTCGCTACTACACAAACATGTGTCATAACACAGTGAGACACAAGATGAAAAGAACTCAGTTGTGTGTAACTTCTGCTGCATTTGTGAGTTTGCAACCCCCCTTGCAAACTGACTGCGGGGCCTGAAGGGTACAGGAAAGGCTACAGTTTATTTATCTTCACCCATACAGCTTGAAATACTTTCTTGATTATTTACTTTTCATTCTCAACTATTTACTCTGAAGGCAAAATTTTTGTGTAAGGTATAACTGCCTTTCACAGATCTGCAAATCAAATTATTTCAAGGCATTGTTTTGCACTTCGATTGATCATAGCTGTGTTTCTGCACAGACTTCTACCACAAATATCAACAGAAACAGCATCAGCCATGAACAGGAGTGTGACAGTGACGTCATTCCTACTATCATTACTCACTCAGCCTAAAACGTTATGAGTTGAATAACCTGCACGGTAACTCCCATACTCAAGTGACATTCTGCTGCTAAGGAGAAATCCCCTACAGCAGCAACACCATTGATTATCCTCCAAAATCCAACACTTCCCAGTGACTGGGTGAGCACCATGGGGAAATTAATGTGGTACACATCACTGTCTCCATGCTGATCCTACAGGCAGTTCCCAAAAGAGTATCTAAAAGAGGCTTGTGTGTTTCACATTCAGCAGAAGAAATGCATCCTGAAAGGGGAAAGACTGAGGAATGAAAGGAGCAAGGGAAATACTTATGGTGGAGAGAAATGGCAGAGGCTCAAAGCACAGATGAAAATGAGGGGTCAAGCAGTGACGTAGCACAACTTCAGACTGAAGCTGAGATGGCTCCAAAAGGAACAAGAGAAGTTGCACCCTCACTAGTCGTCATCCAGCTACATAACTGATGGATGTGGAGACTGGGTATGGACTCTGCAAAGTTACACCTGAGCTCTGGGTTGAGAGGGAAAGTACAAAAGACTGCTGGAGAAAGGAAAGTGATGCAAGCCATGCAGGATTTGCACAGAGGATTCAAGCAACAAGAGAGAACAAAATGCTTTTGTCTGAAGCATTAATATTACTTCAGCAAACATTGAAAGGAAATTAAAATCTCTGTCCTCAAATGTTAAATCCTCCTAGACCATACAAAAAGAAAAAAACTGAGTACCTAAGAAAAGGGTCTTTCTTTGTAAATGCATACATGCAAACTGTTAGAATATTATACATTTGTGCCATTATTAAACAGAAAATAATTTATTCACAATAAGAGACATAAGTACTTGGAGCAAATGCTCAAGAACTTCTATGACATAATTAACTTCTTAATCCCTTTAAAATAAAATGTAAGCCATAACTAGAAGTAACCAAATTATGTGTTTGTTTTCAATAAAAAAATATATATAAAACTCAAAGTTTAAGTCATGGTCAAAGAATTTTTTTACACCATTGTGCCTCTTTTGGCTTGACTTTCAGTTTCAATTTAATGGGAGTTTCCTCTAGATTTTTAATTACCATTCACAGTATGTACTTTTGACAATTAGTGTGAGTAGTGTACAGTTATTTATAACATCTGCATAAAGTATGCCGGTGAGATGATGCAAGCATCATCAAACAGTGAGATTAAATCTGGATCTCTATGATCATTGCAGGATAGTGGATAAAAGAAAATCCAGTAGATGATCTTATTTCTTTCCTTTTTCAATTCCTTAAGTAATTAATATTGGTGACTTGAAAGAAAACAGGTAACAGTGATCTTATTACTGGTGCTTTAACCGTGCTTTAACTTTCCTTTCTCCATAATTTAAAGAATATAGATTTCCTACTTTATTTTGTTTTACTTAGCTAGATAACAGAATTAACACTCCATTATCTGTAACTCTGCTGTGTAGAAGAAATTTAGAAGCAATCTATAGAACAGTCACATTTCTTGTTTTAAGTATCTTGGTATCTTTTAAGGATCAGAATCAGTGGAAATTACTACTTTTGCACTAGTAATTTCTAGTTCTTAATAGGCTCAGACAATGCTTGCAGTATTTTATATACATAAATATGCATATACTACATATATGTATATAAATATACATATATTACAGGTTAAGAAGCTGTGCTTTCTGAAGTACAGTACGTTCAATGAACGAAATAGGTATTTTCTATTTCACTTCAGATTTTTCTGTACAGAAATTTTCATTGAAAATACCTGTAAAATACTTGGGAGTATTAGGTGTACCATCTATCATACATACCTATATTCCTCAGACAAGGGAAAGCACATATATGGCTAGACAAACACTAAAATGATTGTAACATCTTAAATCTCCAGTGGAAAAAAGCCCTATAAAAAGGAACTTCAGCAGTGTTATTCTCAATCCTTTTCTTTATCACTCCAAATGTCAAAATAAAAATTATTAAACTGAGAAAGCAGAAGACAACTGGTTATGTTTAAAACAATAGGTAAGGTGTGTCTACACCAGAGAAAACACTTGAGCTGAGTAGAAAATGACAAACACATCATGCAGCCAGTAAGTTGTTCACACAAACAACTCGCCAGTGACAGTCCCCACTCTCCTGAATGAGCTTCCAGCATATCTGTCCTTTGCTCCACAACAGATCTGCCCCTCCTCATCCATGCTGTCACACTCCCATGATCCCACGCTGCCTTTGGTTCTCCCTGAAATCCCTCGGAACTCCAGCTCCGCAGGCAGCTGCGAGTGCGGCGCCCGTTCCAAGGACACCAGGGCACTGCCTGAGCAGGCTGCAGGCCAGGCTGAGCAGCCCCATTCCACCCAGCTTCCAGGGCCTCCACTCCTGGCCAACTGAGAAGTTTTATGAAATTTGTAAAAATTTTGCACTCTTGAGAACACTGCTTTACAGTCAAGCATGAAGCCAACAATCAAAAAGCCTCTCTGGGGAGAGGGCACAGGGGGTGTTAACAAACAAACAAACTTCCTTTCACTTTCTTTTTTGTCCCCTTTTTCTTTGTTTTTTACAGATCATCAGCTAAAATACATACTTAGCTATGCTAGAAATTCAAGTATTCCCACAGTTTATTAAGTTCATTCTCTTCATACAAGCAGCTAAGTGCCTTCTGAATGGTTCAAGAGAAATAGTTACAGTAAGACAACTTATTTGAAAATAATTACTCACTGCCACTGATTATCTTCTTGCCACTGGATGGCAGCAACAGAACCTCACCTTTTTCTGTTATCCTCAAATTTTATTTCCATTATTCATATTCATTACCAATTTTAAACAGAATTCTGTACATAAATCTTAAGTACATTAAAGACTTTAGCGCTTTAAAGCCAACCACTGACAACCATATTACTTAAGTCATTAAAACAGCTTAAAGGACAGTGAGCTTAACCAGTTCAAAACCCAAACAACTTAATTAAATTCAGCTATAAAAGACTAAATAAGCCCAGTTTACTTCAGGGAAGTTGTGTTTCTAAACACAAATCTTTATTTTTCCAGTGTGTTTTGCTGAAGGACACTTTTCTTTCCTCTCTCCACACAACAGCTTTTCTCTGCTGACAGCTGCTTTTTGCATCTGATAGATGCTTCTCATCTCCAACACACCATCTACAACCAATGTTCATGTTGTTCTGAAATTGGCTCAGCCTGTACGTTACCTGGGTGTATCTTTCATTAACTATGCAAATCAAGCTTTTAATTCAATCTCTGCCAATTCGGACAATATGGGTTTTCCAAACCAAGTGAGTTTAATCTATTAAGTAAATTACTATTAATCATTTTGACAAGACCAAATAAATATTTTCATTAATAAAAAAATTTTATATGAACAATTTAAATGACTGGCAGCATTATATGAAAACCAGACTACAACTGATACCAGAAAGGTATGGACTAATTAATTATAAATAATGGTCTGGATTCTTCTCTAAGAAAAATCAATTGCATATTCAGCTACTTCCATGTAATTAAAGTCTTAATTTCTTTGAACTCAAACAACACATTTTCTGTACTGCTCAGTGAGTTTTTATATCCTGGTGCACCGTAACATTTTTAATGAAGCTGCTTAAAGAAAACTGTGTTATATCCTTATACTAACACAGATGGTGCTCACAATTACAATGTACCAAACAGGGAGCTGGAATGTAGCTCTACCTGGACAGAGATATTCTAAAATTCTGTAAGGATTACATTTTGCTGTGACAGTTTCCTACTAGTGACTTCATACTTACTTGAACAAAGGGTACGTTTTCTCATCTGCAGGTGCAAGCTTAGGGAATACATTACATTTGCCTTTTCTTTAAATCCTTGCTTGCAATTATGCTAAAAATAATTTTCTATGAAAGATTTTTAAATAAACGATAACTGTAGCACATACCTTTCAACGTCAAAAGGAAAGCAGAACTTTGGAACGCTGTTCAGCACTTCCTGAAAATACAAGCAAAAGAAATGAAGTTAGGGGTTTTTGGAAAAGGCTTTTGAAAGGTTTGCTTTTAAAAAAAAATGGCCAAAAATACTCATAACAAATAATAAGTTCAAGGAATATATGATTAGAAAAAAATACAGCACACGTTCCTGGACTGAAATAATTGATTATTAAAAAGGAATTAGGTTTGTGCTTTGGCAGATTGCAAAGACAATGCCATAGAAGCCCCAGGAGGGAAAGGCCTGGCCTGAAGGGTATTAACACCCTTCACATCCCCGCTGGGATTCCCTTCAACAAGGCCATATGGATTTTACAAGAAGCACCACACCATATGGGTAAGCCACGTCTGCTGCTACTTGTACCACAGACTAGCCACAGGGACTTCTGACAGATCCTGGCTCAAAAATACAAATGTTGTTTCAATTAAAATGCAGGCAGAGAAAAGGGAATGAAGTTGGCAGCAGAATGAATTACAGAGAGGTATAACAACTCTATACATGTTCCATAGTCAAATGCTGAAAGTGATGGAAATCGCCTACTGGTCCAAAGCGGAAATTTATATGATTAACCCTTTGGGTCTCACAAGCAAGCTTTGCTATCAGTAAAGGAAAGGGGTGGGGGGGAACAAAATCCACCAGATCTACATTCATACCACAGTATGAAAGGATAATGTCTCTCTTTCATGCAGAATTTTATTTAAGAAGCTGTTTAGTGGCAAATAAAATGTGTTAATTAAAATATAAAAATGCTCTCAAACTAGTCAATGTTTTCTTTAAAAAAAAAAAAAAAGTGAATTACCAGATCATTTAGCAGCAAATATTAAACAACGACTTTACAAGATCCTAGAAAATAGGTTTTATTTCCTTGCTCCCAACTGGGAAAACAAACCCCTTGTGAAATGCTTCAGCAAGAAGAGACAGTTGACATCCATGAAGTTGGTCAAAGCTGCAGAATTCCTTTTTTGTAGCAGCCCAACAGATCTGTATTTCTATATACAAGAGCTGGCCTGCAAGGTTTGTTTTCAGAAAGGAGCACATTGATTACAAATTTCCAGGGCTGCACATGAGGGTCTAAGAAGCTGATTTAAGGCGTTAGCACTGCAGCCAGAACACCCTGTTTACTGCATGTTGGACAGTCAACTCCCATTAGGGGAAATTGTGTATTTAAATTCCTACACACTACAATGGCTACTTACTTCAGACATACACCAAGCTCCACAGATAGTGTAAAATATAAAGAGCCCACACAAGTTAATCAGCAAGAGAGGAACAGTTCAGGAAAAAGACACCTGTGACTACAACAAGTACATGTTAGCTGCAACATTTTAAGGGTATATGATGTGCTTCAGTAAATCTTCATGTGATACTAAATCAGGAAGTCAATGTTTTTAGAATTTCCAAGCCATACAAGAGATTTCAATAAATCTTTAGAACTTTTACTTGGTTAGCACAGTGTATGAAAGCCACAGATGTGTTTTGGGAAACGTTATGAACTCCATTAAAAACAGCAGTACATAGAATACTCTTCAAAAGGAACTGCTCAAGCACCATCCCACCTGCTCTGAGTGCCCACGGCAGAAGAGTGAGAAGCAAAACATAAATAGGGCAGGTAAGCATTTCATTTCTGCAGCCAGGAACAAGCACACACAATGCTAGGAGTAACAATAATAAACTCTAATAAAAGAGAGCAACAGAACAGGCTAATCAAAACTTCTAACTCAGAAATTTCCTAAACATTTCCAAATTCCTCTCACTTCAGGCTCATTAGCTTGTTTTTCCTGTTCCAAAGCAATAGTATTTTATTCTTTTTTCTAAATCTGAACCTATTCTCACACTATAGGAAGTAATTTTTCTTCTCACTAACAAGGATGTTAATTGCTGCCTGGTGAGCTTAGCACTGACTCAGAATTGGGTATGGAAATGTATTCATTTATGTTCCCCATTGTATTCTCTCAGAATAAATTATCACGAGAGGAAAAGAAAACAAAAACAAAAAAACCGAAGGTATTAGCTCAATATTTTGACTGAACAACCTGAAAATTACGGGTGTGTTTTGCAGCGCTGCCCGGGCCGAGCGACAGGCCAGCGCTCCCCCGGCGCGCCCAGGCCTCCGCAGGCAGCCACGCGCGCACAACTTCTGCGGAGCAGCCTCCGCTCGCTTCCCAACTGGCAGCACCATCCCTCGGGGGACACGTCTTTAAACCTCCGCTCTCTTTAAAATTCAACCAGCCAGCAGGTCTATAGACTGGTGTATAAACAGTATAGACACACACAAAAAAAAAAAAAAAAAAAAAAAAAAAAAATCCTCTCTCAGCTTATGTCAGTGACAAAGCAGCTCAGCAGTTGACTGCTTCTCCCCTGACAGCGTAAGCCGGGTTTACACAGATCAATAGATGGAAGTCCTACCTAGCTTCCTTCCAGGGCTCCGTTTTCTCCCTTAATTACAGGTGCTAGTCAGAATTTTCAAATGGAAGAAAAGATGTCCCCAAGATGCTTCTACATGAATTTAAAATGCAAATGATATTAAATAGACATTCACATTTGTGTACATATTTGTGTACAATTACAGCTGGTACTCGCAGCAATCTCTCTATTGGATAAAACTGGAGCTCTGTCTCCTAACGGGTCATCATTTTCAAGGATCCCTAACCAGCCAGGACTTCCTCCTGAGTCAATATTTACATTCACAGAAAAAGAATGACATTATTTGTTGTCTTTTATGTTCACAACTTGATAAAATGATGTATTTATTTCTGAAGTCAAAAGATGGTACAGGTCTTCAGAAAGCAAACAGTTTGATTCACATGTCCCAAGATTACTTCCCCCTCTGGCTCTCACAGTATTAGTGCTTTCAGAAACGGTCCTTGTGTCATAAAACAAGGTGTATACAGGGGGAAGATTATAATGATGTAAAAGAAAAAAAATAAAAAACCCACACCAGTAAAGGATTATCTATTTGCTTTTAAACACTGACTAAGCATCTACAGGTGCATACAAATTTGTGTTTAATTGCTAAGTTAAAGGATAACTATCTCATTCCTCATGCAAACTCAAAGAGAAAGAAGAAAATCATAAAAATAATAGCATGTGAACTGTGACATGCTGCTTCTCTTGAAAAAAGCTTAAACAAAGACAGAAATGGTATTTACAAAAATATTTCCTTTATACCTACAGCACAGCAGCAGAACCCTGCACTCTCACAGGCTCATGGTGCAATGGTTTATTAATTCACTCTCGTCAGTTGCAGTGTCCAACTCCAGCCTAGCCTGGTCATGCTCACTGGCTCTGAAACGGGAGGATATTACAGAAGCCTGAAAGGTAAGAATTATTTACTCTTCCTTGTTCATGTTGGTACCCACTCAGCTAATTCGGTGTATCACCATTTTATAAAGCAATGTAAACAGTGGTAGAAAATAGAAAAAAGGTCCTGATAACTTCATAGTCTGGAAAGAAACATGGTCAGTAATTAACTGACCAGTTAAGGCAGTTTCACTTTTCGGATGTTTCAGATTTTCCTCTAGGTCTAAAGACAAATTATGAAGAATTTCCTAAAACTGCTTTACATAAAAATTAATACCTAATAGCAATTACCAATTGGCTTGCTATTCATATCCACAGGGCAGTCCCACAAAAGTCCTGTGCACATCTCACCATTTAATTTGCAGTGTGACAGCACAGGATGGGTGTAACACAACGGTGTGACGTGGGAGTCTCAGTGCCGTGTGGGTGGCAAAACACAGAGCCGTAGATGTGCCCTCTAAGCTCCACCTGCTGCAACACTTCTATTCACAGAAGATAGATAAGAAAATTTGTGCAATCGCAGCTCCCTAAATATAGACCTGATCTTTCTAGCTAACAATTTTCAGACTAACTTGCAGATAGTGCTGTGGTTTTTGACAGCTCTTTCTGTGTCAATACAGCTGCCACGTAACACTTCATACATCCCTGACAAACATGCAAAGAGGAAGCAGATTCTGGACCGCGTAGCAGAAGTTGTCACTAATGGATTCAAGCAAGATTAAAATTCCACTAAACTGAGCTACGTGTGCATTTGTACAACCGCAGATTGTTTTGACCCACAGAACAAATTCCACTCCACTGCTGAGAACGATTTTTGATCCTCATTTAGTTGGCTAACATGTAAACCACAACTGGAAAGGTCCTACAGCCTAATGACTGACATTCAGAGGAATCGGGTTGTTCACAATACTTAAGCACAGAGTCCTTTAGAATACTTGCTCTCTAAAAGGCATTTGCATCATTGAAAAGCTTATTCAGAGAAACATTTGTTGTGTAAAATGATTAAGAAGCTGAATACCTGCAAAGGAGGATGAGATCACTTACAGAATTTCAGCTAGATTTAATTTCTCTTGTTCCTGCTTCCTGTCTCCTCTGCCTGGCTACCATTCAATTACATGCCTCAGGAGAAGATGCCAAACAGGCAGCTGAAGATTTTTGGTAGCTTCGTCTGGTAACTTTGTGCTCTACACAGCAGCATGGTCACAGACAGATGAGGCAGCAGGACAGGAAGACTTTAGACAACAAGGTAATGGGATGAGCTTGAGATCTTAGAGAAGCAAAATCACATCAACAAGTAACTCTGGCACAGGTGGCAGTGGAGGCCCAAAGGCCAGCTGTACCTGTGACTGAACTTGGAGGTGATTGCTGCAGCATCATTTAGCATCATTAACGTGCCAACAGCACGTTAAATACACACAAAAAGGAATGAAAAAACCCTTAAGGATTGGAACAGTGAAGGACCAAGGTGTGGTGCACTCCAGCTGGAGATACACTACAGGATGTTCCTGCCCTGCAGAGCAGACTAAGGCTGCTGTCCCAGGCAGCACACTTTTCACTGCTCTCACAGCAGCTTTCAAAGGCACTTCACAAGAAGGAAAGCTAATCCTGCATGATTAATCCCACTGTCCTACAAGACTGAGGTATAAGATTTTCTAAACCACCACAGAGAAAGTTTTAAAATTCAGAGATTTTACCAAATTATA